TAAATGTCTATGCAGTGTCCTAAAACTATGATTTTCAAGAAAGAAGTTATGTCATAATTATGAGACAAACTATAATATTCACAGATGTTCATAGTATTTGTAGTTACATTCTTACTGAATAAACATCAGACAAAGAAAATGGATTCTGTGGGTCTTTCTCATAACTAAAAAGCTTTATCTTCAGCATTGGAAGGATGAAGATTTGCAAGAGTTATAGGATGATCCGTAACTGAGTTGACCTATTAGCAAGGTACTAACAAATTAGTTATCATAAACTAACCTGACATTGCCTGGGTATTTATTTATAGGGGGAAAATGTCTGGACCAAATGTAATTTCTAATGTTGGATTTTCTCCCTTACCAGAGGGAGCACCCTTGAAGCCATTACCATGGCAACTCCACTGTGCTGTACAGTAGAATCCATTTTATGCAGGACAGTAGAATATTAAGGCACAATAATCTGTATCTTAACAGAACACACACACTGAGGGGTTTTAGGAGTGCCTTACCAACACAATATTTGTTTCCAGAGACTAAGTCATCTGTGTAGCAAGTTTGGCCTTTTGCCTTTCAGTGTTGATAAAACACTTAATCATTCCTCTAGCTCAGCTGATAAGGAAGGAGAGCTTGTGGCTTAGAGGTTAATATAACTGCCTAAGATGTAAAAACAGTGCAAGTTCAAATCCCAGTAAGGGTCTGGCTAGCCGATGAGAGCTAAATAGTTTGAAATAGATCCATACTAGTCTCCCTTCATTTATTTATCAACAAAAATGCAACACACACACACACACACACACACACACACAGAGAGAGAGAGAGAGAGAGAGACAGACAGACAGACAGACAGACAGACAGATTATCTATGGGTGATTATGGCTACCATTTGCTGAAATCCTTACTTTTCACATTCACTCACATAAGCATATCCATGAATATGTGGTCTTACTAATTTATAACATATTAGTACTACTTTATAGATCCTTAGTAAGACCACATATTCATGGATATGCTTATGTGAGTGAATGTGAAAAGTAAGGATTTCAGCAAATGGTA